CACCCACCTAATGCTTCGATTATGTGTAAAGGATAAGCCAGCTCCCTTGGTCACCTTGATGAGTGTGTATCAATTCACCTGCTCATGTGGAGTAAGTTATATTGGGCGTACTAAGCATTCACTTTCCAAACGCACTTTCGAAAATATACCAGCCTGGCTCCACAAAGCAGAAAGGAGGACAATTCACAGCTCGATTTTAGAACATTCTATCGATTATGATCACTGGATAAATGCAGAAAACAACACTAGGATAATCTATAGAGTTCGTGCAAATATCGTGAAAGCTCTACTCCTAAAACTTCCTCAAACTGCGGAAACTATGGGAATAAATATTTTGAAGCATGAACTCTGCGTTCAAAAGAAATTTGTTCAGTCAGTTGAGTTACATTGAATATAACCTATAAGAACAATTTTTTTCAAAAATCTTCGAATTCAGATCTTCTCATAGATTACATTCCTCCACTCCTATAGTTCTGATTTCTGTTTCCATTCACAGTGTTTCCTAATTTAACTTAGTAATGAAATATTATCTTCGTCTTGATAAGTCTTCCTCTCATTATTATTTCAAACAGTACTTAATTCCTTTCTGACCTATAGTCAAATGTGAACTTCGTTTAAAATATTTCATGAAACATTCCTTTTCTGTTACTATGTGAATAGAATATTTATATACTACTGTACAGCTTGAGAATGACATCGCTGAAAAGAGTGACTCTTCGCTGTACGTCTTTTGTTTTATGACAAAACGAAGGACTAAATTTGATCAGCACTCTAGAATAGAAAACATGAAGTAGGTTACCCTCCAGTGACCGATCAATGTACACAATGCAGTCCTATAGGACGTTAGTCGTCACCCGACTAGGTTAATTGTTACTTCTCTGATGTCGGTACTGGTTCACACGGGTTTGAATCTCAGACGGGACATCGATTCCGTAGAAGTTGAATAAAAACCCTGATGACGAGTGCCAATAAGCACAAAACCTGGGCTCAGTGCTTCTTGCCAATTTATGAGTAGTATAATGTTCTTCGACTATTTAACTTTATTAACATATTTGGTTGTTCATATCAGTTGTGTTGCACTTTGCTCTCCATTTCAAATCCCTAAGATGTTGGTATCTTTCCCGTTTTATGATTGTATTGTACTCTTTTCAGTTGTTTCCATAATGCCTATTCTCCTCTTGGACACTTGTTTATCTTGTGTTTTTATCTTCTGCAGCGAATCCACATACTTCTCTTGTTTCTCACTCGTTTACTTTTGACCATGTTTTCCTTTTTGTTGTTGGTGTACTTCGTATAAAGTGCTTTAGATGAGGATAAACTCGTAAACAGCTTGCGATTCGAGGACTGGAGTTTATTAGTCATTTTAGTTTAATATTACGGTACGAACACAACGCCTGCTCCACTGACCTAGCAGTGGATTCCAGGACGCACGTCCTGATATATACCGCTCTCATCAGCTGGATGCACCTGAACCTTAGTGAGTAACGGTATCCGCAGTGAGACTGGAACCCGTGCCCACCACTTTCAACACCATGGTGTTGTTTACTGGGTCATTGAGACACTGTAGGCACCTCATGTGTCGTCTCCCGGATTCCGCTGCTAGCCGTCACCAAATCAGTCATAACAATGAATATAAAAGTAACATCCAGGGATCCACATTGGAACCCATATACCAACAAAATTTGACCAATTCGTTCCTGTAAAGCAAGGGGAATTAAAAATATTAAAAAATAACGTTTGCATTATAATCAATATATATTCGGTAATTAACTAATGATTCATTACTTTTGTACAACTAACAATATGAAATCGAATGGATAAATCTCAATGAAAATGTTCGTTAAATTCTTCTTTTCTGTACTATGAAGAGAGAGAGAGAGACATAGGCAAACTGCTATCATCACTATCATCTATATCCTCCTATTCTTCAGTATCATTCTTTAAAGACGTTCCATTTGAATAGGTTCTATGTAAATAGTGCTCATTGCAAATGGTATACACGCAGCGGTTGTCCATAATGATGCAAATATCCAACATCTGTAGGAAACTCCATTTTTAATAAACAGTAATACATTGGATGCACATAGAAAGCCGACTGAAATACAAAAGTAAAAAAAGAAGATAGATGACATTTTATTCCATATATTATAGAAGCTGTGACTAGCGGCGGGAACCATTTCGAAGCTCGTCTCATTCTACTTGGGACTAACTAGCTGAATGTGCTTGCACCCTGAAAGTACTCGAACCCAATACCCATAGCTCCAAATACCAAACCATCATCCGTGTTACCATATAAAGGCACGAACGTTGACCCACGCAATATATGTACATTGGTGATATTTGTCCATAACAGAATACATTGCACCTTACCTAAGAACCTTAGACACAATGTAAGGTAGTGTAACTTATTCCACAACAAATTTTACTTATGTGAATCTTGAAATAAGGATGAAAATGTAATCTAATAGAATTGAATAAATTGAGCATTCGGTAAATTGTTTCTGAAAGAGGTGGTGGAAAAGTGAACGAAATACACTTAGTTAGCGTGTGCACATCCGCGCAGTGAACCACACCCATTGTATGAGGACTACCTAGCTACCCGAACCTCAGAAAGAATAGAGAGGCTCGAACTTGTGACCCGACGGTTGGTAGTCATTTTCTTGAAACACTGAACCACATTAGTGTCAAGGACTTCAGGGAAAATTTGTAGCTCTGGAATGATGATAATTGTTTGGTGTTCTGCAAGGTTCGGGGTTTGTTCTTGAATATTTCATCATCTAGGCTTGGCGACTTCATCGGCATTTACTTATTTCAAATCCCAGTGAGGTAGAAAAACAAACTTAGAAAGTTTCCCGATCTCGAGGAAGCCGCTTTCTCACAAAATGAAACCTGTACAAGTCATAACATGAAGACAAATCACACCATATTATTCATTATTGATAATAATAATATGGGAATAATTGTCGTTGTTATCAGTTATCAGTCTGTGAGTTCAAGGTGAAGATGTGAATGTGCGCACAAGTGTTTCAATCCGTAATATGGATGAGAAATTCTCTTTGTTCGTAAGTGTGTATCTCTTTTAGTTATGATTACCATGTGTGGTGTTATTTAGGATATACTGTTCAATATGTTTGGTTAGTTAAAACTTCCTTCCTTTAAGTGTAGTACATTAAGATCCAAAATTATGGGAAATGCCACAGCTATCCATCTTTCCTTTTAGTTTGAAAATCCTTTTTGAATAATTTCAGTATTTTCAATTTCAATGTTGTGACGATCGTAGATGGTATGAAAAGCGATTCCCGGTTGAATTCGTAAATTCTGTAGTTCTGCAGGATTATTTGAAGGTTGTTTTGAGTAACTTACATGTTTTTAAGTGTGAATGAGGGTGTCACAGGATTATTCCCCAATATAATAACCATCACGATCGACACAGCCTAATTTATTAGCACACTTTTGTTTGGAGATGAAAGGAATTTTATCTTTCGAGGGGACTGAGCTTGTACAACATGGGCAATCGACATCAGTTGTTGAAACAAAAGAAAATCAAGAGGTTCATGATTGTTGCTCAGTTGTATTTTACAAACCCCTCTCCAGTTTCCTAACTAAATATTCGGCCAGTTGGATAATTGAAAGTTAGTCAATATGAATCACATATATGGTTTACTACTATCAACTAGTTTCCAAATGGAAATCCATAAAAGATTAATCCAGTCTATATTGTTGCATAACAAGCATTGTTGTACATGAATTTGGTTGGAGCATAACAAGCATACACAAGAATAAGCTTGTGCCTCACCTATTGTCTGAAAAGTGAATGCCATTTTACGATGAAAGTATCTTTTAACTACCTTACTGGTATCCTCTATGGTGCCATAGAAGCTACTTGTCGCCTGGTTGACATTTCGTTCAAACAGTATGTGAAAAAAGTAATTTTGAGTATAATTTTAATTGGTCTCTTTGTTTATTGTAACATTTTTAATCCAGAGTCCCACATTAGGCTTACATGGCGATATACAGAATAGGACAGTGTTTAACTGCTTCATTCGAACTAATGTTCACCAAACTTTCAAATATCCCTCCTTTTCCTCAGCAAAACAAATAAACAAACCAATGTTCACTTGAATGATGCAACTGAACTTATTATTACAATCGCTCACTATTGAAACCTAGTTTTTATTGGAATTGAAAATAATTGTGCTTAGTAATGTTGTTTGCGTATGTGAGACAGAGTACACAATAAATAAAATATAGTTTTCAGTTTTCTATATCAAAATGTAAATTACAATACAACCACATTTTATGAATATAATTATTTTTTCTCTGTTTTTCTCCATTGAAAAAAAGTCGATTTGAATTTATTACACTTGCAAATATGTGTTTATATATTAAAAATCAAGAATGTTGGCGGCTAAAGAGAAAAACTATTGGATATATTGTATGTGTACATTTGTAGAGAAAATCTTGTATTTGTTATCACTTTGAAATGAAATTCTTGGTAGGCCACGCGAACCAGTAATGGGAAGTAGAAAAGTTGAGTTTGAAAATAGTTTGCTTTTCTGCTAACTCAGCTATTTCATTCTGGGCATTTCATCACCAAGCTATATTACTACATCAATACTGACTTTCCAGCTATGCTGCTGTGTAGTTTAACCTAGTCATTACGTTCAGATTTGTAAACTAGGATATGAGCCACGTCTGTCGTGCAGAAGTTTAGTATACTACCTGATTTAAAAAAGTTTGATAACTAAGTAAGGTGAGGCTCAAAATCATAGAACACTGATTAAAATGTGACTGAATAAACCAGGGGTCTACGGGTCCTCCACAAAGTGAATGAGTACAAAATCTCTAGATAATTGAATTTTATTACTCAGGCTTACCGTTTTTCACGTAAGAACAATGTCAAAATGAAGCTTTCAACTGTCATTGTCGCTATTTTTAGCCAAAGACATTACACATTATGTGAATATTCAAGTTCTATTTATAACTACTTCTCTACCAGACTAGGTAGTAGTAGTAGTAGTAGTAGTAGTAATGGTAGTAGTAGTAGTAGTAGTAATAGTAGTAGTAGTAGTAGTAGTAGTAGTAGTAGTAGTAGTAGTAGTAGTAGTAGTAGTAGTAGTAGTAGTAGTAGTAGTAGTAGTAGTAGTAGTAGTAGTAGTAGTAGTAGTAGTAGTAGTAGTAGTAGTAGTAGTAGTAGTAGTATACCAACTAACAAACAATATTTCTCTGAATGTTAGTGGATTACATATATCGTGATGATTTGCCTTTATGCTTTCGGAGGAAGGGTAAAAACCGGCTGATTACACTCATCAGCCCTTTCTTGCATAAGTAATTAACATTGTTGGCACTCGGTTGAAGGCGACTGCCCTTTAAGTTTGCGGATATGCCTTGTTTACGAGAACTGAGAAACCGGAAACCTAACTTCACGTGGGACACCTCTTGATCGCTTCTGATCAAATGCTATCTTGACAGTGCATCTCGGAACTTGCTGACTGCATTGCAAAATGATTGATATTCGGTTAGAACTTAGAACTGGGCAGCTGGAAACTAACTAATCTCTAGCAGTCAGTCAGTTTGAGCGACGTATACTGTACTGTATGTTTGAAGTCAATAGGGAGGACGTTTCCGACTCGAATCTGTAAGTTTTATTAAGTTCCAAATAAAAACTTGTATGCAATCCAAAGGAAGTTAACTTTCACTCTTAAGTTTGGAATTATATCACCAAGTCCCTTACAAGGGGACTTTATTCAGTCGACACGAATGAATAGCCTATAGGGTTTACCATCCAGCGACCAATTTGTGCATTCTACTGCTCATTTACCGGTACACTACTTCCTGAATGGCTACATTCTGACTGTTTAGCAAGATAACGATCATTTGATCTGGGGGTTACAGCACTCATTTAAACATGGTATCATGCATGTAAGTGGCAGAAAACATCGATCCATCTCTGAATGTATTTACCTGAAGTGTAACTATCTCGAACATCATACATCATAGCACTGCATATTGCAAAGACAAATTTTGTTTAAACAACCCAGCTGAGAGGACACAATACAACCAAGACCATCCACCTGAGCTACAAATATTCTCCAATATTCCACAAACGTTATACGTATGAAGTGACTTTGAAGGCCACCCTAGTAATTACTGAGATAGCCAATTAGATTTCAGTATGACGACCAGAAAGGGAGCTTTTCATAAAATAAAAAAGACATGTAACTGTTTATCTCAGCAGTTGCTAGGGTGACGTTTAAGGTCACTCTGTGTATGCAACATTTACATTTGAGTTTCCAGTTTTGATATGTCGTGTTGCAAATTTTCAAATTAGCTTCACTGAATTTAGTTACATGGTTTCTTTTGTCTACTGTTCTATTGATTTTTTAATAAATGATTATGTATTCCATTTGTTCTACACAGCACGTGAATGACTTACGCATCTGTGTGGAAAATTTATGCAAAGGTAAGAAAATGTACTCGTTTGTTTATTCGTCTGTTTTTGACCAAACCGGTTCTAAAATTCACTATAGTCTGAAAGTTTTTTTTGAAAAATGATCAATTTTTCACCAGTACATGTTTGATGACTGACTATCAGATCATTTTAGTTTATCAACTTTGTACATTAAAAGGTTCCATAGACGAATTTAGAAAAACACAGTTTTCTATAAGTTACTGAATCATATTTTTATAGTGATGAATAACTCACTTTATTGAAATTGAATGATCAGTATCTACAAGATGTTCCATTGTAGCATTTCTTATAGATCGTCTACTACCTCTTCTTAGCCACACAGGATAACTTTCTTGAACCCTTTTGGATAAGAACCACTCCAACTCATCAGCATACCGAGCTCTACATGAGTAGGTGAACCAATATACAAAAAGAGAGGTTGCAAGACGTGTGATCTTGTCTTTCAAATTATTGCTAAGTAAAAGGTGACTAGAGAACACTACTCATAGAGTTGCTACCACAGAGGATTGGGGAATTGTGAATTTCTGCACATGGGTGCTCAAGATCTCGTCTATGACCATATATATAAATATCAGTTCAACTGTTCCTGTGGAGCTTCGTATATCGGTTATTCAACCCGGTTCCTGTTCAAAAGGGTTCAACAACACTACACCATGTGGCTACAGAGAGGTAACAGCACATTTGTAAGAAGCGTGATAATTAATACCTCTGCTGACACTGTTCATTCACTCTAATTTAGTCCTGCAAATATAGAGGTTAACTACTTAGAATGGAAGGTGACTAAAAGTACGAAATTAATTAGTTCTTTTAGTCATTTTTTTCTGAAGTAGGCTAGTTAGTCTCTTCTTCTTATCTTCCTTTAATGCGCAGGAAAATAATAAAAAAATGTATGATGGATTTTTACGGAATAAAATTTGTACTTTCAGTCACTGGTCAACCTTTGTCTTCTGATATTTTCGTAGCTCAGCGAAGGTTGAAATACTGGGGTGAGCGGTCGTTTTTCGTGTACAATTCAAGTATATCCGCGTATCTTGTTGTCATTATTTATCTACTTACATCCAAAAATGCACTTAATTACTTCAGTCGGACTAAAAAGGCTTCAGAGTGTTTTTAAAAACCATATCTTCCTACTTAAGAGGAATTGGTTTTATCCCCATGGTGTTGAACAATGGAGTTAAAAATAGTCTTCACTGAGTACATTTTTAAGTGATGGAAGTGCAAGTACAGACACAAACTTGTCGATAAAAGTTTCAATGCGACCAATTTTTGAGTTATATTCATCTGTATTCATGGAAATCTTTATTTTCCGATTTAACACCAATGTATACTTTCCGATAAACGTAATTTGAAGTTGAAGATTATCTGAAAATTTTGAAGTGTTTGCACAATAGATTTCGAACAACCTGGTCACATATTTACTTGTAAAGTCAATTTATATGTGAAAATGAAGACAGATCTATCAGATGACCAATCTATAGAAAGCCTACTTGAACGCGAAAGTACTTGAGTTTCAAGAAAATATAAGAGAGGCTTAGTAAGATGTTTATTCAGCAGGACCCAGCGTATTTGTACATCTGATACAATGGATGATGAAAGCAAATTTTTGACAGAGACACTTATAGAAGACGAATATCCATTACAGTTTGTGAACTGTTATAGAAACTAGTTGAACCCGAAGCCTATCATTTCCTCGGTCCCGAAGAAGGATATATTTTCCAAAGTACCATACAGAGGGGAAATGAGTAGTATAATATCGAAGCAGAGATTAAAATCTGTTATCAGTAAAACACACTGTACAACTCAGTTTATCATTGTTGAGAAAACAAAACACCTGCTTCATCACAAACCTTAACCTCGCATAAATGATTATGTCACATAGCACTGTGTTTACCAATTTACATTTATGCGTAGGCACACATACAAAGGGAGGAGTAATCGTGGTATGCAGACTAAGGTGGGCGAATATGACCGAAATGGTTAATAAACAATTGAACACACAAGCTTTGATAAGTGCAGGCGACAGATATCCATCCATCTTCACCTATGGCAAAGCATATCATTGGAATGAATCATAAGATTAGTACGAAAACAGCATTCAAAGAACAGTCAAGGGTACATACTGAAATTTTTCGAAGCGTTAGCCATTCGTAAACTTAAGTTCCTCTTGTGTGCACAAAAACAGTTTGTTGTTTCACTTAATTTACCTTGGTAATCCTTATCTGATAACATTATCAAGACTAGTGTCACAAGCTTTTCACATTCACTATATTTGACCTTTCATTTTCATGTATACATTGACTTGATAAGCAAATGTATATTCAGATTGTTCGGAATGTATTGCGCAAATGCACCACATTTTCCAGATAATCTTCGTCTTCCAATAACGTTATCGAAATTCACTAAAGGGATTAGTTGTTTCAAACTCATGTATACCTTGATTGGAAACTACTCAGTAACATTTTTCATGTTGTCGGGTGATGATTAATGGCGAAGTTATGTCGTCCATTTTGAAATGTGTGACTACAATCGCAGTGGTAGTCGGTTGAAGGTAACTGAAAATAAGCCCTAGGTTTCGTGGTTGTTGGCACTCGTCAACATAGCATATCCTCAACTTGCATGAAATAAATATATTCTCAGAAATTTCAAACCGCCTCACCAAGTACTACAGTCAAGCATGCTACTATGATGGTGTTTCGGCTAGACAGTATTATATTGACCACTCAGCAGTGACAAGGCAATATCCATAATACAGTCTGCTAGGCCTTCAGTAAGTCAATCTCACCTCAACTAACTTAGTGGAAGTGTCTCTGGCTACAGAACTGTATGATGTGGTTTCCAGTCTCCCAGATGACAACAGTTCCCTTGAGGTGATGAGTGCCAACAAACTCGGGACTTTGCTAAAACAGTAATACCTGCTGATTTCCTCTATTCAACTAAAATTTAGCATAAGCATACATTCAGATAACAGAAAGAGCAGTTCACTAATATATTCAACCTGGTTAGCCACAAGCTGTTTCTTTTTGAACATGAGAACATGAAATGAAATTAAACATTTCGATTCATTTCTTAATTTAATTCAGTAACCGTTCTGACTGAAACTTCGCTACACTTTCCGTATTCATGTATTCTCAGAGGTAAATGGCATCATGTGATTGAAGTTGATCATTGCAAAGCTGGTAATTATCATTGAGGCATGTTTGCTTTCCTGAAGGAACTTATGCTGTCTTAAATATTAGAAAATGTGTAACAAATTTCCTACATTTGATAGTTTCGGGCAACGTTTACTATATGATCAAGACATTCATCAAAACCTGATATGTGATCTATTGACATTACAACCACATTTTTGGTTCCGAAGCATAATTATGTAGATTATTACAAAGCGCGATAGATAATTAGGTGAATTGAGCATATTTTTTTAACAGTGAATCAGTTTTAGTTAAGAAAACAAAACTTGGATGATTGATTGACAGTATTTTAGATTTACACATCACTGACATCCTTCATCCTGGAACCTAAAGTTCCCAAATGAGATAACCATCAGTTTGTGGTGAAAACATGGTCATGCAACAAGGATCGCGCTCAGAAAGAAGTTTACTTTACGAAGAATCCAGTCACTGAAAATGTGGAGTCGTAATTATTAGTGTTAGAACCGGTTTGAATACATCCGGTGAAATATACACTCAAGGATACTCTTGATTTCATCGATTCAGTAAAAATTGTCAGTCTGTTCGAGGATCAGAAAATTTCTGTAATTATTGTTAGATAGTGACTAGAAGTGAAATTCAGGACGCACGTCTTGTCCCATTTTGGAATCGTCAACTGGGTTTACCTGCCTCCTAATGAGTGATGTTGTTCCCATTAGGACTCGAAACGAGAACCAACTGCTTAAAACGCCAAAGAGTTATCCGCCAAATCACTGGGTCACGATAGGAGTTCCTTGTGCTATGGACATAGTGTAGTTTCGATATTATTACTTGTAAACGTCTCATGTTGATTGGACTGAATTGATTGGCAACTACTGGCATATGCGGTCATGTACAGATGTCCCCATATTCTGGATATTTCAACTTTTGATATTAAGGAGCTATAACCACCTATACCATTAAAACAGTGCTACAACCGTCGCGCAAGCAGCTACCTTCGTGAGTCAGTGGGCTACTAGATAATTCTATGGAGTTTGAAGCCAATGGTCTTGGTTTCGAGTCGTAATGAGAACAACACTAATTAGGCGGCAGTACATCCAGTTTACGACACCGAAAGAGCACGAGACACGCATTCTAGATTCCACTGCTAACCATTATCTATCATCATTGTCAAGACGGAAAATACTGACAATATCGAAGCATCCTCACAGGAACCCAATACTAGGGTATTAACTTGGTCCAATCAACGAGGAAGATTTGCAACCTATAACATCGACCTTCCTG